ATTACGTTACCCATCTCATATTCATAATAAATTTTATCTGCGAATATTTGCGGGTACAAATTTTTTTTCCATCCCTACTCCTTAGTGATATGTTTAGTGTGAGAAATTATATAATCTACATTCATCATTGTGTAATTAGTGATTCGAAACGTGGGCATTTATAAAAATAGAGTTCCAAGTAAACACAGACCCAACTCATAAAACTCATTCAACCCATAAAACCCACAAATTATAACACTCATTCCTATATATTTTTATTGTTTACGTCTATTAATAAATTTGTATATGAAGTAATGTTTATGTTTTATTATTGCAGTTTGGTGAAAGATATTAATATTGAGATCAAGACTCTTTTTTGAATTCTGGAGGATATGTGAATCATGTTTTTGACTTCTAAGATCTTGAACATCTATATTATTTTTGATGAAACACCTTTCTTACATTGCATTTTTCTTGGTAAAGATGGTTATGTACTCCATTTGCATTATTGTCAATGGCTTTTCACTTTCTCATGGTTACTCAGCAATTGATTTTTAGTGAAGACTATTTACATTTATGCTGATAGAGATTGAGTGAATTTTTGTGCTCTAACGAGTGACTAAAAACAATGTTTTGTTATAGACCAAAAATAATCAGAGAAAGATTTTCTATGACTGACAAAATCATCTTCAACAATTTCTCTTTTAATCTGTTTTTTATTATCTTCATAAAAAATAATAAATCTCAAATGAGTTTTTGTTTTGCATTCTAAATCCAACCTTATCAATAAACACCCATGACAATGAAATTTCAAATCCAAATCCAAGTTCCCATCGGCATACTCATTGTTCTTGGATTTAACGAAGAAGATGAAAAAGACATTGAAAATTTAGAAAATCTCTTTTAGTGATAAATTTTCTCGTCGCTAAATCGATCACAAAAGTTTAAAATTACATGTTATTTGCTACGTCAACAAAAAATGACGTTATAAGCCTATTTAAGAGGCTTAGATTTTTTTTATAAGTCTATTTAATTAAAAAAGCTTAGGCTTCAAACCATAAAAAAAATATTTTAAGTTTATCAGACCGGTCTATTTAAATAAATATGAATATGAATAATTTTTTTATTATCATTATATTGTGTTTTGTACTTTGAATTAAAATACATAAATAAAACTTATTTATCTTGGATAACTTATGAAAATAAGATGAAAACACCTTATGAACAATGTCATAAGTTATTTTTATAAGTTCTCTTAAACAAATAGTCTCACAAAACTTGTGCTAATAGATAAGTTAAAATAAGTCAATACAAACAAACTTTTAGTCTTTTTGGTCTTTTAGTTTTTTAGTCTATTTAAATATTATTTGAATTGTTTATTTACATATGTCTAAAATAATAAGCTTTTATGTAAACAAACCGACTAATCAGGCCTTCGAAAAGGTCTCTGATCCAGGCCTAAAAATAAGCCTATGACGGACTACAGGTCAGACTTAGACTTCAATTTTTGGGACAAGTCAAACTTAGTCTTGGCAAAGACTAGCTCGACCTAATTTATTTCCACCCTATAATCATTTTATGTAATTCTAAGTATTACCGTAATGAACCTTTGATTTTTGCAAGTATTTTTATGATGAATTTTATCGTATGTTTTGACATTCGATGCTATAAGAATATCACTAGTAGGTTAAATCATTTTTGTAAGAAAAATGGCTGGAACGTTTTTTTGAAAAATATGATACATTGTTTATAATTTTATTAGAAAAATTTGGATAACCCACTGTTCAACTCAAATAAAATTTAATTTTACCTAAACTAAATATTGTTGGTGATTAGTTTACCTCGCCCAAAATAGTATACCATATATGGTAGAAATTTGTCATGGATAGAATGGCATTTGTGAAGGAGGAGATGGATTGATGCGGACATAAGGCCATTGGAACCCAAGTTCTTGTTATTAACCAAATTGGATGTCAAATTAAAGCCATTGTTGGTCCAAAAGGAAGGTTTTGACCTAGACCTTAAATGTAATTGAATTCACTAAGGGTCTGTTTGGTTCAAATGAGGGGGAGGAGAGGGGAGGGATTTTAATGAAGGGGAGGGGAGGGGAGGGGAGGTGAAGGAATTTTTTAATCAAATAAGTGTTTGGTTCAAAAGAGAGGAGGGGAGGGGAGGGGAGAGATTTTAATTAAAAATGTGTTTGGTTCAGAAGGGGAGGGGAGGGGTTTTATTAATAATTTACAGTTTTATCCTTATGATCTTATATAAGTCATACGATATTAAAATGTGAAAAATTCGTGCGTATTTTTGTTGGTAATAAAATTTCTAATATTGAGTGATTAAAAAAATATTTATTTGTCACATAAAGTTAAAAAATTGAGTATAATTGATTCGACTTATAACTTTCCAACATAAATTAAACTATATGCCAATAACATCGTTTAAATTATGATGAATCATATAACAAAACAAATATATAAAATAAATTATTACTAAATATTAATGGTTCAAAATATTTAATAAAATGAATAAACAAAAATAAATAAAATGATATGGTTTACAATTTGATATAAAAGAAAATATGATAGAGTACATAACAAAATTAAAAGAAAAAAACGAATATAACGAAACATAATTTTTTTATAAAAAAAAGACAATGATTATGATTTATATTAATTATAAAAATTATAAAATAATTTGAAGGTGGAGAACAATTATAATAATTTGATGAAAACAATCGAGAAAAAACAGTAACACAAAAAATAACAAATAGTTTTGAAATAATAAAATTAAACTGAGGATATTTTAGTAAATATAATAAATTTTAAATATTAAAACTCATATTCCCTCCCCTCCCCTCCAAATCCCCCCAATTCGGAGGGAACCAAAAAATGTGTTTTGGAGGGATTTTGCTCCCCTCCCCTCCCCTCCTAAAATTTGAACCAAACATATTTAATTAAAAATTTCCCCTCCCCTCCCCTCCATCTACCCCGAACCAAACACACCCTAAGGGTGTGTTTGATTCGGGGTAGATGGAGGGGAGAGGAGGGGAGGGAAAATTTTTAATTAAATATGTTTGGTTCAAATCTTAAGAGGGGAGGGGAGGGGAGCAAAATCCCTCCAAAACACATTTTTTGGTTCCCTCCGAATTGGGGGGATTTGGAGGGGAGGGGAGAGAATATGAGTTTTGATATTTAAAAATTATTATATTTACTAAAATATCCTCAGTTTAATTTCAGTATTTCAAAATTATCCGTTTTCTTTCGTGTTATTACTTTTTCTCTATTGTTTCCATCAACTTATTATAATTGTTCTCCACCTTCAAACTATTTTTTAATTTCTATACTTAATATAAATCATAATCATTGTCTTTTTTTTATAAAAAAAAATTATGTTTAGTTATATTCGTTTTTTTCTTTTAATTTTGTTATGTATTCTATCATATTTTCTTTTATATCAAATTCTAAACCATTCATTTTATTTGTTTTTGTTTATTCATTTTATTTAATATTTTGAACCAATTAATATTTAATAATAAGTTATTTTATATATTTATTTTGTTATATGATTCATAACAATTTAAACGATGTTATTGGCATATAGTTTAATTTATGTTGGAAAGTTATAAGTCGAATCAATTGTACTCAATTTTTTAATTTTATGTGACAAATAAATACTTTTTAATCACTCAATATTAAAAAATTTATTACCAACAAAAATACGCGTGAATTTTTCACATTTTAATATCATATGACTTATATAAGATCATAAGGATAAAAATGTAAATTATTAATAAAACTCCTCCCCTCCCCTCCCCTCCCCTCCCATCTTTCCCCTCCCCTTCCGAACCAAACACATTTTTAATTAAAATCCATCCCCTCCCCTCCCCTCCCATCTTTTGAACCATGTCTGGACCATCGCACCAACCACCTTTGTCGCTTGCAAATACTAAGAGACCCCAAACACCTTAAGAAAATCATGGACGATCTCGAAGTCAAGTGAATGTGTTGGGATGTGGAACCGGTGGGCGTTACGATTGTTGTGTAATTTTGTTTGATGGAATAATATTATAATTTATTTTTTATTAAACATTTTAGTTAATATTATTTTATTATTAAAATAATAAATAAATAAATAAAATAACAAGACAACACAAGTGAATGTGTTGGGATGTGGAACCGGTGGGCGTTACGATTGTTGTGTAATTTTGCTTGATGGAATAATATTATAATTTATTTTTTATTAAACATTTTAGTTAATATTATTTTATTATTAAAATAATAAATAAATAAAATAACAAGACAACACAGAGCCACTGCATATGACGCATGCTCCTAAAAGATGCATGTGACGCATGCTCCTAAAAGATACTTGCATGTGTCACATGCTCCTAGAGAATGCATGCATGTGTCACATGTCATTGCATGATCTATAAAGACATCAATTTTATCGATTAATTATTCTATTTTAAGATATGGTATATTTTTAGAGTGAAGAGATAGACATATGGTCTTTAAACACTTTACTTTAGGTTTGAGAATTGCACCTTGAATTGTCATGTTTGAATTATACTCCAAAGTGGTGGTGGATGATTGTAATATCTCAAATATTGGCTTTTATTTAACAAGATTGCATTCCTATTAGATCATATATGCTAATGATATGACATAAATTTTGTTTCCATTAAGAAAAATTACTAATGAGTAGTGAGTACTTTAGTAAATTAAACTTACTCTATCCTAAAATTTAGTACACTATAATTTTCTTAAAATATGTTCAAGACCAACATTTAAGGAGCTTACTTAATGTTACAGTAGAGAACAATCACAAATTAACAATGATATGAACTCAAAAGCAGCATAAATAACTAATGCATGCAACCTAAGATCTAGATTAGCAATGATACAGCTAATTGGAATTTGAATGGTAAGAGACAGCATGAAACAACCAAGTCTTTTGATACTCTTAACCACACAAACTATCATTAGAGACTCATTTATCTGTCTAACCAACAAGAAAAGTTAGCAGGTAGATGGAGCATTAAGATTCACATTCACATTTTGATGGTCAAGACCTTCCTTTCCAACTCCAGATACATGAACCTGTATGACAAGATGAGAAACGAGCTCGAAAATGCACGTGTCGCCAATATTTATGCCATTAGCACGAACAAAGGACATCCATCCCCCACACAAGGTGTGAGCTTTTCCCCCTTTACTATCTGGGATGGAGTTCACTGTCCAACATTCCCCTCTTGAATTGCGAAGCGTAATTTCTGTTTTGTAGTCGGGGAGATGTGCAGAAGCGAACTCTTGTGGGATTCTCTGCAGTGTAACAAGTATTCAATAATTTAGCAATGATATCGATTTTAAACACGCGTGTGTTGTGAAATGTTTATTACTCACCAAAGTACGTGATCCACTGACATTTAACTTTTTCATGATCGTCACAAAATTAGGAAATGGGGAATTAAGAGCTTCGGCTGCTTTTTGTTTTTCGAGTGAAGCCAACATTTTCAAATCAGCTTTAGCCTGGGAGATTAGTTCATCTTCAACACGGTGTCTCTTCGGTGTAGCTGTCTTAGTTTACAGTTCAAACAATACTGAAGTCATAATTTGGAAGGTAGAGACTTAAATTATATTCTTGTCTTTTTATTCGCGAAAATTAAATACTCGATAGAAACTTGTTGCAGAAACTTTAGATATAATCTATATTGAAACATAATTTTCCATCTAGTGAGCAAATAGAGAAAAAACCTTACCCAACTTTTTATGGGCAGTTTTCGACATGGAGCAAATCCCCATCTTCTTCGGAGTATTTGAAGCTCCACCAAGTTTCTTCAAGTCGGTGGATAAAACAGCTTCTTGACCAATCATTGACAACTTTTTATCCGACAAACCAGCTTTGTGTTTGGGTTTTGAGCTGACTTTAGGATTCATTGGCATATCTTTAGAAGTCTCATGGCTAGCGACACCATGTTTTGCGCTAAGCATACTAAAAAAGTTAGTTTTCCAACCTGGCATTATAGCCAACAAGTTTAGGCCGTGATTCGTTAGAGTAAAACATAATATATCCTAGTGCATCAGGATTCAAAATGAGATTCATGTCCAGAATCCAGATAGATACACACAATCAAATTTTTTCTCACAAGAATTACCTGCTATTGGTGATGTTCCTCGCCGGTTATTCTGGACAGCTGTAGCCTCATTATCAGGTCTCCTGGTTCTTTTACCCGTTGGTTGGGAGGGAAACGCTGCAGATGAAGTCTTAGTGACTGCATCAGCCATGACCTGCTCAGGTGAAGCAAATTCAACACCAGCATTAAAAGACTTTTCATTGGTAGTTCCAAAAGGTGCGGCTAATGGTTTTCCTATATTGTTAAGATGCCGAAATTTCTCATGCAAACCACATTCTGCGTCACCCTTATAAGCCATATTGGCTTCTTCTACAGAATTGTCTGTCTCCTTTGCCTTGTCACCACCCCCTTGTTCTGTTTGAGCATGTCCATATTTTCCGACAAAATAAGAAGCTGCTTTCTCGCAAAAGCTTTCTCCATCAAAGATTAAAACCTCAAAGTGTGATTTACCATTGTACTTAAAGACAAGGAAATCATTCTCTTTCAAAGAGTGGTCTTTCACGAATTTCTGCCAACCGTTCGTGAAGTACAAAGTATCATCTCTAGTTTTCAGCCCTACATCATACACAGCTCCACTAGGACCTTTGATGGTCACATTTTCTGGCAACTTCTTCTTTACATTGTTTGAAAATGTTTTAGGAATTGCCTGCAACAAAAATATAAAACTTCCGTCTAAGATTACTGACACATGGGCAAGTTCAAATAATGAAGAAAAAAACTGTCAAAAATAGAATGAACATGAACATGAAGTGCATGTAGTCAATACCCAAATATGAACACGTTGGAAAGGTTTCCTTTTTCTTTAATTTAGAACATGGAAGGAAAGAAAAAGAGAGAAAGGGATTACTAACAAGTTGTTGTTCAAAATGGGTGCTCAGAAATTGTGTGAAGCGAATGAACTGAAAATGAGTCCAGTAAATGTCTTCCTCCCATGATTTGAAGCCGCTGCATTTCTGTCCTCCTCCCTTTACAGTTTGAGCATCTCCACATTTTCCAACAAAGTAAGAAGCTGCTTTCTCACAAAAGCATTCTCCATCAAAGATCAAAACCTCAAAGTGTGATTTACCATTGTACTTAAAGACAAGGAAGTCATTCTCCTTCAAAGAGTGATCTTTCACAAATTGTTGCCAACCATTCGTGAAGTAAACAGAATCATCTCTAGTTGTCAGCCCTATATTCCACACAACTCCACTGTGACTTTTAAGGGTCACATTTCCTGGCAACTTCTTCTTTACATTGTTCGAAAATGTTTTGGGAAGTGCCTGCAATCAAAATATAAAATTTCCATTTGAGATTGAGGCACATTCAGCTGAAAAGAATAATAAACCAATAAAAATGGTTAGGGAGATCGCCGAGAATAACAACAGACCAATGCTCCATTATCACATACGACACGTCTCCACCTAAAACCTTAAGATCTAATAGGTTTTTTAATTTCCTTTACAGACACAAAAGCATTATTTCATTGCAATGAAAGCTCAAAATCACAACAGATCTAGAGCTAACGCCACAGTTTCCAACCCATTATTCAAAAACAAGCAAATTTATTTCTGTAGAACATCATCATTGTAATGGCAAAAAAAGGGAAAACTTTAACATGCATCCAATAATGAAAAGCTCAAAACTTTCTTCAAAAGAACTAACTACAATTAAAGGAATTGTAAAAATATACACAATTTAAAAGGTGGGCAAGTTCAAATTATGAAAGAGAAGAAGAAAAAAAAGTGAAAATAGTATGAACATGAAGTGCATGTTCTGAAACACCCAAAAATGAAAATTCAAGAAAGGTTTGATTTTTATTTGATTAAGAGCATGGAAAGAAAGAAAAGACGAAAAGGGGTTTACTTACAAGTTGTTGTTGAAAATCGTAGTGCAGAAATTGGGTGAAATGGATGAACTGGAAATGGGTCCAGTAAATCTCTTCCTGCCATGATTTGAAGTTGGTGCAGTTTTGTTCTCCTCCTACTTCCATTTGAAAGACAGTGAGAGAATGAAATGGTTCAAAAGGTGCAAGCTTTAAACCTCAACAGTGCACGAGAAAGATGAATGACTCTATTGTATTTTGGTGATATTTGTAAAAGATTAAAAAATAAAACACACATTTCACAACGGAACACAATTTTTATGATGAAAAACTCCATTGGTCATGTTTTTTGTATCTTAAAATGCTCAAAAAGCAAAACTATTTTTAATTGAGTTTTGAAAAATCAAAATCATTTTTAATTTGGCGTAATGGTCAATAATAGTCCAATGATAATTCTTGTTGTTTTCAATGTCATATTGATAATTTGTGGTTCATCCATCGGATCAATCTCTCTTTGTGTAAGTAAAAAAATTGTAGCTCACGTTAAATTTGCAATAACAACTTTTTTTATATAGTTGATAATTTTTTTTTTAATAAAACTTTATAATATTAAAAGAAAAAGGTGGAACAACTGAGGGACTATAAAAAGAGGAATAAAATAATTCCATCAAAAATCAGAAAACTTAAATAAAGATGTATCTAACATATTTTTTTACAAAATTCTCTTTAATCTTAATAAGGATAGAAACAAAAATAATTAAAAAATTTGGATTGCTATTTATATTAGCAAAAAATACTCAACGCAAGAATTCTCTTCTCTAAATATGTGTGTGAAAGTAATATTTGTAAAGTTAGTGTGGTTAGTACTCCCCAACCATCTATTCTAAAGACCAATATGAATCAATCTAAAGTTAGAGCAAACACAACCAATAAACAATTAGTTTCAATCTAAAATTTTCGCCAACCACGAAACTTTGCAATATCAAACACTCTCAGAACAGCCAAAAATTCGGCAGTAACTAAAGACTCTGTTTATAAATTCTCCGCAAAAGCTAGCATAAAATCTCCAATGATGCTTCTAAATATACCACCACATCCATTATCATTGGTATTCGATCAATAAGCACTATCACAATTATCTTTAACCCACCCTGAGTTATGAGGACACCATAAAACTTCAGTTATATTAGGAGCACAAGATAACAGCCCCATAACATTATTCTCCAACACAAGCAGATCTTGCGGCAGAATGGAGTTATCAGGAACAGCGGGAAGCAAATCATGCAGAAAAGGGAACCACAAATTCTAATCAGTAGGAAATAACCAATGATTGTCAATTATAAAATCAGCAACAAAGGAGTTAACCATGATACCTTTAGAGCGCAAGAATTCAATGGAGGTGTCAATAATGAGAGGATCATCACACCAAGTATCAGTCCAAAAATGAATATCCCGACCATTTTCCAAAGACCATGACAGAAGTAACTGTCAAAGTCACGAAGATGGTTAGAAGAGTAATCTGCGACAAACAACAATAGTAATGATAGCTTTTTCGACTCTATTCTCGCCTACAATAACTACTTTAAGGTGATTTCAATAAACATCAAAATGTAGCTTTTGCATTAACCTAAATGAGACACAATACCAAACGTACACTTAGTAAAAAATGAATTTAAGTTTGTTTCATTCAAACACACATTTAGTAAAAATGTGTTACTAACGATTCTTTCAATAATGGTAGAAGCCCGTATGAGATAAATAAAACTTTCATTTGTCGTATTGCAAAAGGAAAACACCAAAAGGCCCTAAAAGTGTTTAGAAAAATTAGTTATGCAACGTTATAACGAAGATTATAACTAAAACAATTTCTAATAGACTGAAATCAATCCTTCCAAATATAATTGATGAGTAATAAATTGATTATGTTAAAGATAAACTAATTACGAATAACACCCCACTTCTATGGAGTGCTTCCACTAGAAGATCTAAAATGAAAATCTTATTTTTTTTCATTGAACGTGTATGGAAAAAATTTAAGGGATGAAAATGAAATTCATTGGTAGATTTGGTAAGATGGGTGTTGATTAAAGTTGTGGCACAAGAGATTTTTGCGCTACATTATGAGTTGCTACAAGCTATCGTAAGGGTGTTACGTGAAAATCAAATTAATGTTATCGAAATTATGGTTGGGGTCAAAAGAAGGCAACTAGAAAGTTCATTGGATAGGCTGAGAAAGAATGTCCAAAGCAACGCGTAAAAGGTGAGATGGAATTTAGAGGAATAAATGACTTTAGTTAAAAACTTATCATAAAACACTTGTGGATGTTATCTAAAGGAGAACAAATTTGATTTCAAAGCAAGATAATTCCTAAGGGTGTGTTTGGTTCGGGATAGATGGAGGGGAGGGGAGGAGAAATTTTTAATTAAATATGTTTGGTTCAAATCTTAAGAGGGAAGGGAAGGGGAGCAAAATCTCTCCGAATTGGGGGGATTTGGTGGGGAGGGGAGGGAACATGAGTTTTAATATTTAAAAATTATTATATTTACTAAAATATCCTCAGTTTAATTTCAGTATTTCAAAACTATTTGTTTTCTTTTCTGTTACTTCTTTTTCTCGATTGTTTCCATCAACTTATTATAATTGTTCTCCATCTTCAAATTATTTTATAATTTCTATACTTAATATTAATCATAATCATTGTCTTTTTTTTATAAAAAAAATTATGTTTAGTTATATTCGTTTTTTCTTTTAATTTTGTTATCTATTCTATCATATTTTCTTTTATATCAAATTGTAAACCATTCATTTTATTTATTTTTGTTTATTCATTTTATTAAATATTTTGAACCATTAATATTTAATAATAATTTATTTTATATATTTGTTTGTTATATGATTCATCACAATTTAAACGATGTTATTGACATATAGTTTAATTTATGTTGGAAAGTTATAAGTCGAATCAATTGTACTCAATTTTTTAATTTTATGTGACAAATAAATACTTTTTTAATCACTCAATTTTAGAAATTGTATTACACATCCAAATACACAAGGAGGCAACATCATAATAGAAGGCAAAGGAACATGTGTTGAGAGCACTTAAAGTGGAGTCTGAAAATTTAACACTGGAGATGGCATTCGATTCATAAGATATACTGCATTAACAACACCATCCACCCAAAAATCACGTGGCACATGGGAACCAATAAGGAAAGCACGAGTTGTCTCTAAAATGTGTAAGTTCTTTCTTTCGGCAACACCATTTTGTTGTGGTGTTTGAGGACATATAGTTTCATGTACAATTCCATGAGTTTGAAAGTAATGATTAAGTTCTTGATTTACGTATTCTCTTCCATTGTCAAATCAGAGAATTTGAACCTTAGCAGAAAATTGAGTTTGAATTAAGGCATGAAACATGCGAAAAATATTGCATACATCATGCTTACGTAACCCAATTGCCATTAGCAATATTAATTCTCCTTGGCGGTGTAGAATTAATAAAGTCATTAGGATCATATGTCATATGATTGGTTGCACCTGAATAAATTATCCATCCATCATAGTCACGTTCAGTAACATTAATTAATGATAAACTAAGGTTACCTAAATTCTGAATTGACGAGCCATAATTTTGTGTTGGTAACAATGATAGTTATGGTTCTGCATGTGCAATGGCAACTCATCCCAGCCCATTTTTGGCAGCTGCTTCACGTGATTTCTTGGCCTTGTATTCATCCCACCAATCAGGATATCCGTGTAATTTAAAGCATGTTTCGTGAGTGTACTTAGCATTCCCACAATGCGTACAACCCTCATCTTCAGATTCAGACTTTAGCTTGTTAAACTTCATATTAGAGGGTGTTTCCTTCTGGCCTGTAGTGTGATCACCACTTGCGTTTTGACTAAGCCCGTGCGACATTAATTTGAGAGAAAGTGGCTGGTCAGGGCAACTTTGTATGCGGCTTTGTCCTCCACTTTGTCTAATATGTTGTAACACTCCCTTTGAAGCAAGCATTGTACCTGTGGAGATACCCATCGACACAGACATCATTATTGTTTGTCGTATATCCTATCTTCTAACAAATGTGTATGCCTGTTCAACCCTCGGAAATGACCTAATCTAAAGCAAATCGCTTCGAACCTTGTATAACTGATCATCACACTCATAAGCCATTATACACGTCAATTGTACCAGAGATGCATCTTCGTGAATTTTACATAGATGTATCTTCGTAACGTATCAAAACACTACTCTTCATGTTGTGCTTTGTTTACGTGTATTTAGATGTAGATTTAACTCATACCATATAATCAAAATTCAAAAAAAGACGTACATAAATCCAGATGGTCCAAAAATGACATATATAAATAAAAGACCAATTAATGTCAAAAATAACATACAATCGAGACCAATAAAGTTACATGATGCCAAAAAAAATATAGACATAATAATACTGCTATATACTAATGTACTATTGTGTATGTCTGACTACCTCTCCTCTACCTCCTCTGCATCTTCTACCTCCTCGGCTATCAATCTCCCGTCCTTCGGCTGTCTTTGATACATCAATGCCCCTCGTACCTTCGTAATGATGACATCTAGGACTAGCCTCACATCAGAATTATTAAGGAAGATATTGGTGTCAATGTTTGTCTGCGCAATATCCGTTATACAACGACATCTAGGCAAGACATCCTTAACGTTATCTAGGTTACCTACTCATCCTTTAGTATCTTCTAATGAATGGACTTAGTGGATCTCTTGGAGCAGTATGCATCGTGTACGAATGTGACACCCTGAAGTATCATCTGATGTACCCTTCGACATAGCTCTAGTTTCTCTCAGCTACGGTACTTCATGCCTCCTCCGGTACGAGATGACTCCATCAAACATGTCATCTATTTGTCTACATGTAAAGGCAGGGGAGCAGAGATAACAGAGTGTTTAGGAATGACATCACGCGCTCTAACAGATGAGGAGCAGTGATACGTGATCTGCATGCCAACCATCTAGAGTATAACATTATCTCGTCAATATGTCTGGCGGTATGGTCTGGGTATAGAGGCAATAATGAAAAATCAATAGGGTATTCTTCAAATGCCTCTGGCTAAGCATCTGCAACACCCCCACCCTCTGTAGGTGGCACTGGATCAACAACATTAG